TTAAGTATTATAACACTATGATGGAATTAAACAAATAGTTAGAGTGAATAGTTTAATTATTGAAACACTGTAATGAAATTAAACAAACAGAGTGAGTAGTTTAATTATTGAAACACTGTGATGGGATTAAACAGACAGTTAGAGTGAGTTGTTTAATTATTTTAACACTGTGATTGAATTAAACAGACAGTTAGAGTGAGTAGTTTTATTATTGAAACACTGTGATGGAATTAAACAGGTAGTTAGAGGAAGTAGTTTAATCATTGTAACATTATCATGAAATTAAACAGACGGTTAGAATGAATAGTTTAATTATTGAAACATTGTGATGGAATTAAACAGACAGTTAGAGTGAGTAGTTTAGTTATATAACTATATCATGAAATTAAACAGACGGTTAGAATGAATTGTTTAATTATTGTATCATTGTCATGGAGTTAAACAGGTAGTTAGGATGAAGTAGTTTTATTATTTTAACATTATCAAGAAATTAAAGAGACAGTTAGAATTAATAGTTTAATTATTGTAACATTGCCATGAAATTAAACAAACAGTTAGAGGAAGTAGTTTAATTATTGTAACATTTTCACGAAATTAAACAAACAGTTAGAATGAATAGTTTAATTGTTGAAACATTGGGAGAAATTAAACAGACAGTGGGAATGAATAATTGAATTGTTAAAAGATTGCTATAGAATTAAAAAAAGAAGGCAATTATGGATTTTGCGAGAACGTTTAACGAGTTTACAAACAAACTATTAATGTATTTAAAGTAAATAAAACAGTTTAACGAGTTTCTAAACAAACTATTAATGTATTTAAAGTAAATGTGATTAAAATACAAGTTTAATCACTTGTTTACGCTATAAAAGCTGTGTTTGTCTCTGGTAGTGTATTAACTGTTGTATGGTTTAGTGTACTAACTGTTGTATGATTTAACGTATTAGCTGTTGTATGGTTTAACGTACTCTGGTATTATTAACTGTTTTATGGTTTAACGTAGTAACTGTTGTATGGTTTAACATACTCTGGTAATACTCTAAGGGTCAGTACTAGAAAAAGCATTAGATTTTTCAGAAATAAAATATATTTTTTATCAGAATAAACAGATTTTCTGAGTGTAATAATATGACATACTACTACTATATAATATAAGTATATCATAACATGTACAATAATATAACATAGTACCGTTTATCTGGAAATATATATA